AACATGAAGGTTTGTTTGTCCTTGGCAGCGTTGGGGAGTTATTTTAGGTTTTTAAGTCTTTAAAAAGATGAATTTACTCAGGTTGGTTATTAAGTTGATGAGCCTGCAGCAGAGCGCCGTGAGGAAGTATCTGGAAACATCAACATGCATCTACTGGTCAATGCTGCCCCCTGCTGGTGTGTTTTAATTCACATTTGGACAGGAGGGATCACAAAAGGTACCTTTAAGTCTTTGATCATGATCAGAAAAATAAACATTATTAAATTAAATAAAAACAATGTAAGAAATGTTTATGAAACCCTAATCTACAAAAAGTATATAAAAAAGTCCAAAAACTTATTTCTTATTAATATATTCATTTTAGTTTTGTAGTTTTTTGTAAAAAAAAAAACAAAAACGAAACAGTAGTGTAAAAAAAATGAGTCTAAATTCAGGCACCAAAACATTTAATACTTGATGATATCCTGATTTAACCTTCGTTCGATTCATTAGGACCACATCATGTAACGGAGGTCAGTGGAGCGTTTGTTTACTGTGACCAGGCCACAGCTGGACGGGTGGGAAACCTGCTGTAGAGGCTTAAACTTCAAACACGCCCAAAAATGTTTGAAAACATATTTTCATGACATTAAACGGTGCGACGATCCCAGAAAGTTGATTCTGTTTCTCGCACTTAAAAAAAACCCCACTCTGAACAGGTGATTTCGTCACCCGGGTGACCGAGCACGCATCAACACAATATGACAAATTATTTAAATGAGATCCACGTCAATAACAAACCTGAGATGACGGAAATAAAAAGACAATAAACCAGAAACCGGTTCAGACTGGTTCAGGTGCGACTCACCTCCAGGCCGGCTTGGCTGAGTGTTTCCTGCCAGTGAAGAGCGCCTCGTTGGCTGCTCGCAGTTTGATCATCCTCTCGGTTTCTTGTTCGCTCACTGTCAACAAGAGGTGGGGGGCGGAGCCATTAAACACGCGGTCCTGTGTGAGGTGTGATTATAACCTGGTGATGTCAGCCAGGTGTGTGTGCCTACTTTTATACGAGCACTCGGTCATCCTCCTCCAGCCCATCGGGATGCCCTCAGGGGGCGGAGCCTCCGTGTGAACCCCCCCATCGTCCGCTGCCGTTTCGGCTGCCACCGTGTCCTCCATCTCCGTCTTGATGAGGAACTCCAGGATGTCGGTGTTCTCCTGGTTCTGATTGGGCTGGCAGTTGCCACGGTGACCGGCGTTGCCAGCGGTCTCTGGGCTCAGCACCAGGTTGCTGTTGTAGAGGCGACCCTGCATGGCTTCATCCATGATGTGGAACCACGGCCACGACTCCACAACGCCCCCCATGTGGTCCTGGCCCTGGTACGGCTGCTTCAGGTCCTGAAAGAGGAGAACAGTGACCCCTGCAGGCTGAAACAGGGACGTACAGTAAGAGCTGCCTGCAGGTGAGCAGCAGAAAAACTTCTGCAAAGTGCGTCACAGAAAGAAACGTACCAAATAAAAAGAATTAAACATGAAGACATTTAAAGGTCCTCCAGTCGACTCCCTGAAAGATTCACCAAGAAGCAGACAGACGCGCTCATCGGAAAAATCTCATTAAAAACCATTAAAAAACAAACAAACACCGTCTCTCCTCATGTCTGAAAAAGTAACTGTCCCCAAAACCTGATAACTGGTTGTTCCACCCTCGCCCATGATTTAAGTCCAGACTCGTGTTTGCTGGCTGAGATCTTCAGCCTGCTTCACTTTGTCAAACAGCTTCTGTTTAAGGGATTTCAGAGTCACCACTAGGGATGGGTACC